AGAAAGAAAGAAAGAAAGAAAGAAAGAAAGAAAGAAGGGAGGGAGGGAGGGAGGGAGGGAGCTCTTAGATGCAGAGGGCTGTGATCCAGAGATCCTGGAATAAGGGTTTCTCATAAGCATAGTTGTTCTGAAGAGCCAAACCTCTTCTGTATTATTAAGTTCAATGCATACAATGAAATAAGGAAGTTGGGCAACATGTTTCACGCCACCCTGAACAGGAAGCAATAACGTCATGGTTTCACCATTCTTCCTATACTTTCCTTCCATCTGCCAACATTTATTTAACCTTAAAAGGGGAAACAGGAGGTGCACAATTGATAAATTATTCATTTATTCTTTCTCCCTTTGGATAGGTGATGTATCCCCAATGCATAACATGGAAATTTTTCATATTTTGTTCATATATACTGGGAAAAAAATTCAGTTGAGTTGTAACAATATTGCTTTGGCATTCTTTTCTCTTAATTACACAAGGGTAATTAATTCAGAACAAAATCTAGATGAAGGTGATGCATGTGAAATGAAAAATGGATATAGGCATTTTTCATTTCATTTCTATATGATAAGCTACTAGCAGGCGATCAAACCAGCTTAGATCCAGCTCTTTTCAATTTAGGCAGGTAAGTGTATCCCAAGAGGATTCAGACAGTAAAGTTAATCATGTCCTACTAAAGCAATGCTAGAATCAATTAATGGCAGCCACTATTGAAATGTTCACTTCTAGGTTGACTGACTTGTTGACATGGGTCCATTAACACCTTAAATTGGACACAAATCGAATCACCGCATTGTTTCATTAAAATGAATGGGCATCTCTGACTTTTGGAGGGTTGATTCCATTGAGAATTCATTCTTTCTTCCTCCCTCAGAGTTACAACTTCTCTGTGAATTTTGGGGGGGAATGTATCAGACAGCCCTACCTTCTTCTGGGAAGGGTGGAGAGAGAAACGGGTCCTGGAATTTAGCTCCAACACACCCAACAGCACTGCAGGTGCCAAAACTCCAATGGTTATTATTTATTTCTGCCCTGCAATATATTTTACACCAGTTGGTTCAAAGATTCCCTGCTGCCCTAATTCCTAATGGAGCCCGATCGTTCTCTTTCAGTCTCGAACATCTATCCTCAAGACCACAGACGTCTAGCACAAGATCATCACCATTTTGCAGAAAGTAGCTTCAGGCGTGGTAGGACAAAGCAAGCAAAAATGTATTTCCAAACACAAGGTTGCCCCCAATGAACGTAGCGTGCGCCCCTTCCTTCACATTGATTCATTTTGATTCGAGATTGCAAAACATTGGAAATACCGTGTCAGCAAGGAAAACTGGCATCTACAAGTCTAGAGGAGAAAGAGGGTTGAGGAACTTGTGGCGAAGGTAAAAATCAAAAAAGGGGGGGGAACCCCACAGCACAAAGTGGAAAACCAAGCCCCTTGAACTTCTGAGCCTTTAGCAGAAAACATCCATCCTTTCTAAACAAATAAGCCCCTTTTTGTGCAACCAGGGGGTTGAGAAACTTAATACAAGTTTTGATGCTCTCAAATGTGCCGTACAAATGTGTACGAAAGAGAGCCCTTCCAATGTTTAATTTGTATTATAAAATCATGGCAGGCGATGTACCTGTGTTCTGCTCGGCTAAGATAGTATCACAACAGCTGAGATTAAGGAATTATAGATATAATTATATCTATCTATATATGAATGATTTCAGGAATCGCTTGGTTATTCCCGTGCCTTCCAAGGCCGCGTTTTGGGAGAAGGGGAATACCTGTTACAATACATTAGATGTGTCTGAGAACGTTCTTAAAAGGAGAGGCCTGACTGAGGGTCTGGCTGGTGCTGAATCGCTTGCAATTTTTCTGCGGGGTCTTTTCTGCAAACAGCGAGGCAAAAATAAAATGAAGGACATAAGCGTTTGTTTTATGTGGTGAGGTTGAGCAGTGAAAAACAAATCAGGTTCCTCAATATGAAACTAAAAGGAAGTAAAAATGCACGTTAAGGAAACAAGAAAACCACAATGATTTCTGTGAGAGAGACACCTTTTGTTCAGAACTGGAGACATCTTTGCAGATCCCCACCCACCACGGGTAGCCACTCTGCATTCTATTTTGCATCACAGATGGACGGGAAGAACTTCCTGCTTTGAGAAGGGCCAGGGAATTAAGAGTTTAGATATCCTGGGGTTCTGTCACTGCAGAAATCATGAACTTGCCCCAATGATCCATCTCCCTTTTCTTCTGGAGCCCAACAATTGCCTAGCGAGTTCATGGGGACTGACCAGTTCAGGTCATCGCAAAGTGTGACAATGACCACAGGGCTTGGCCAGATTATGAAGGACCTGGATTGGTTAGAGCCTGGCATAAAGAGGGGATTGCTCATACTCAGTCAACAGAAGAGAATCTTCTCCATCATGGACTTTCTCTTGCAGAACATCTCCACCTCTATGATTGGTTCCTAACCTCCATCTGAAGCAAAGTCTGCATATCACCAGTAGCTTAGTCTTAATTTTCTGTTGTTCTGCAAATTATTACTTAGGGTTATATCGGTCATCTTTTCATTAATGCTTGTACGCATTTCCCCGATTTGTACAGACCTCTTGTCATTTAGGGGTGGGGACCGTTCGATGGCGCGTTTCTACAGAAGAGAACATACAACTGGTACATGTTAACTCAAGAAGTTTGTTCTGGAGCTTGCAGGCTTCCAGCTTTATCATGCCAACAGTCTGTAGCCCATCACTACTAACATCTTCCATCAACAGCTTTGTGACAATACCTCTGGGGTCCTGCAAACCTACCTTTGCATTTCAGGCTGCTGGACTACGCAACACATCATTGCATTCAAATGATGCTCAGCCACACATCATACAGGAATGCACACCCTCACTTTGCTTATTGGAAGGACTCCTGATGTAATTTCTCACAATTTCACACAGTAGGAAGGTAAGGAAGATGTCTTCAGATGCTGTAGGACAGTGTTGTCCAAACTTGGCCACTTTAAGATGAGTGGACTTCAACTCCAAGAATTCCCCAGCCAGCATGGGGCCAGGGGAATTCTGGGAGTTGAAGTCCACTCATCTTAAAGTGGCCAAGTTTGGACAACACTGCTGTAGGAGAAGGGGCTATAGCACACTGAATCCAGCAAACTACCCCAATCCAGGTGAAAATCTGCTGTCCACGCCTTGCTGTGCTACCTTTCTACTAGCAATGCCCCCCTCCCCATTTTTTGGTTAATGTTTCAAGAATGCTGAAATGTTGGTATTTCAACCCGGAGCGGTCCCATCACTTCGGGACGCCGTCTCTGCTTCTTATTGCAAAGGGACTCTTGGTGGCCTGTATGAACTGACTCCCAGGAGGGATTAGGGAGAGAAACCATCTGGAACATCTCTCTTTGGCAGATAATGTGCAGATCGCTACTTCCTGCACATGCTGGAACTGCAATTTCAGAATCTTCAACCACCCTCCAGAACAGCAGCAGGACAAATGGTGACATGTCCGGGGAAGGAGAGATGGCTGATGTGAAAAAGGAACGGCAATTAAGCAGGTTTTTGAAACTGCAGCGAATAGATGAGGTGTTCCCTTTTCTTTTTTCTTTTAAAAAAAGCAAAATACAAGGGAGACAGATAAGCACATTATCAAAAGGTTAGACGCATGGAAAGAAAGCATAGGAGCTAAGCAGCGAATGGCAGCTTATTAAAAAGAAGAAAATCACCTTATTCATTCAGAGAAACTGTGATTACTGGAGGTTTGAGAGAGGACGAAGATAGTAGATATTCCCGAGGAAGGAAGACGCCGGGTTACCTGGTTCGCAACGACACAAAAGAAGAGTGGGAAATTGGAGACTCAGAGAGAGAATCAGGCATGTAGAGAAAGCAGGACAGGAGGGAAAAAAATTACAAATTAGTTTTCTAATCCGGCACATTTTCATGCAGGAAAAGTACTG